ATAAAACTCTACGTTGCTCCAAGGAAGGCAGACCGAATCTTTGAAGTAGTGTGGAGTGGTCAGTTCCTCTAGCACGATACAAGCCATCAGTTCTAAATACAAAAAACTTCAGAAAACGCCTTTGCACATTTTCCAAGGTTTCCTTATGTACATTATAGAGAGGATACCAAATCAAAGTAGCATACTCTAACTGAATGATTTACAGTTGCGCAGAACAAAGCTAAGCATTTTTCTAGCCGATGCCGCGACAGTATCGGTGTGGCCAACAAATGTCAACCTGCTGTCAAACGTCACCCCTGGATCTTTGACAACTTCTTTGCGAAGGATTATTTCATCGTCGAAAGTATAAAAATACTCAATAATATTGGCATTTCTTGTAAAGGAGCAAACTTTGCACTTTTTAACATTCATTGCCAATTTATTGATTTGAAACCAGTTATCTATCAGGTCTAATTGAGACTGGAGATAAGAGCAGCTCTCTAACTTGTGATAGATGAAAAGATCTTCAAGTCGTCTGCGAAAAGTAAGTTGCCACACGAAAGCTCGGAGGTGAGATCATTTATGAAGATGAGGAAAAGCAGGGGTCCCAGATTTATGGTGCAAAAGTGTGAGGCCCTGAACAGGTTTGACGATGGCCTGACTTTCGTCTACTACTGCGGTAGACAACGGTTTTTTTTAAGGATGGTAAGACGTCATTTAGTGCTTTTAGAAATAGAGTGGGTTCCATTATCGAGCCCTGAGGAATTCCTTCTTATTGAATTTTGTACAATTTAGGTACTCGAACTCTAAACTTTTTTTCCAGAAAAAAGTTCTGTACAAATGCTCATACGTTTCCATCATAACACTATATTTTCAATTTGTCCAGCATATGATAACGCCACGTAGTCATCCTTGCCACATGTCATGTTTGTGATGTATAAAATCGTCTATACGATATAATCACGACGTTTTGGCAAGATCGAACTTGCTATATGCATGTGCTCTGTTTGGAAGTTGAGTTTGAAACGTCCTGATTGCATCAGAGACGAACGGATGTACATCCGAGATACCATTATAGTATGTAATACCATCCGTGAAGAACTAGGCCAAGTTCAAGGATGGGCAACACTTGCTTGCCACTTGTCATATTACATTCATGTTTGTGATGACGTATAAAATCGTCTCTACAATATAATCGCGACGTTTTGGCAAGATCCCACTTGCTATATGCATGTGCTCTGCTTGGAAGTTGAGTTTGAAACGTCATGATTGCATCAAAGACGAATGGATGTTCACCCGGGATACCACTATAGCATGTGATACCATCTGTGAAGAACTAGGCCAAGTTCAAGGTTGGGCAACGTTTGGTTGCCAAAGGAAGTATAAGTGGACGGAGCTATCAGCAAAAAGAATATAGCACCCAATAAAGAGCGGACCATATTCACGTGGACAGTATGGATGCGAAAGTTAACGCTGATACTTCTGATGAATTATTATTAGTAGCCATGGTAACTCAATATTTGCTTCATCAACGAACCACCCTAGGCTAACTGGATACCAATACATCCTCATTATTTTCAGTCCTTTTCATTGAAGGTAATTTTTACTTTTGATAGTAATTACAGGTTACCCCTTACAACACCTGAAAGTGGTTTTACTAACCGCATTATGTTCCATGCTTCATTTTTGATTTGTAGAAGGTATACAGTTTCATATTTATACCATTTTTCTATAGTGGTATATTCGATTAGAATTTCCTCGGTGAAAACATGTTTTAAAGCTGTTTTGAAGTCTGAACAAAATTCAATAATGATAATATTTTATAAACTATATTTACTTCATTAAAGTTTATGTACCTATAAATTTTATACTGGACGGACGTGCATCAAAAATATTTCATAGTATTTTCAAACATATAAGCTAATATAAATTTTTTTTAGATTGTGTTCGAATGAATGTTGTGATTTTATGGAGCTGTTTTGAATTTAGCGAAACAAATTCAAATTTATCTACTTTTCTGTAAACATATTTATTATTTATAAATTTTCATAGACTTGGCTAATACTTGGTGGGAATCCACGATATTTCTGAACGGCAAATAATTGTTAGATATGATTTCTCTTCTGAATTTTTTTATTTATACTCGTCATTGAACACATGCTTTTCTGTCAAAAGATGATTCGCAAATATTGACTTAGTGTTTGCATTAAAAAACTGATATTATATTCCTTTGGAAATATCACCGTCCGAAAATTCAATTCACATCTCAAGGTAGAAACCCGGCAACTCCGGCAAATGGCGATTGTTCTTTAATGGATGAAGACCTCGTTTTACCACTTCACCTTAATTTGAAACTCATCTGCCAATTTTTTTTTAATGTTTTATCGACTTTCCTTTGTGAGTTGACTTGAGAACAGTCAGCTAGTTAGAAATGCTTGGTAAATATGTTTATTTTTTATCGAAACCAGATTGTTTACTGTTCTAATTAAAAAGTTGGCTGAATCATTATTTGCATTTTTCCGTAGACTGTCCATGGGCGTAGGTATTATTACACAACAAACATTATTTTCATCTTGAAAAAAATGTTTGTTGTGATTTCTCGTGAACTTTATTTATTCAAAATAATAGGGATGATATGAAATTGGCCGATACTTGATAAAAAACGATAATAATGATTCATTTGATTAACATTTAAGCAACATGTTGAGTATTTAAGAACCGCAATTATGAGGTTTTCTTCTTCAGGCATGCTCCATTTTAAGTACCTGAGGAACACACCTGAAAAATTCATTATATATTCAAACTTGTGTTATGGTTTCGTGAAAAAAACTGTTAAAATCTGTTTTCCATTAAGTGGCTGTCACTTCCCTACGAACTATAGCCGTCAAAAGTTCAAACTTGTACGAGCTGATGATCAACGAGGTCATACCTAGAACAGATGCCTACGATGAAGTAATCATGGATTCGCAGCAAATATTTGCCAAAATTGTCAAAAAATACGTATATTCAGTGAAAATTCTACATCTTCACATATTAAAGTGTACTTATCTCAATCCAATTTGGTTAAAATATTTTTTATTTCATGTCGAACTGATAATCATTTACAACTCTGAACAAATTTAATTAAATGTAATATGATGTAGTAAAGTAAATAATAATAATAATAATATTTATTCACCATTTGTGATACATAGCGTATATATGGTAGGTCAATGATTATTTACAAAGAACAGTACGTCACTTATGAATAAAATTATGGAATCAAAGCTTAAATAAAAATTAATATTTGCATATACAAAGTTATAGGTACATATAGATATATAAAATGCTAGTCAACAAGCGTTCTATTTTGAAAACGGGTCTACAAGTTTCTTGGTACCCCAGGTTGAATATCAATCTCATCAGTAGTTTTTGAGAGATGAAAACTCTAGAAAATTCCTTTGCACATCCCCAAGCCATTATGTTGAAACTGATGTGGGAGGTTGCATTCGCAAAGTAAACATTTAGTAAACAAAACCTATCTAAACAATGTTTTAACTGTTTGATCGAATAATAAGCGGAATTGAGTTTACTGCACACTTTTTGTATGTGTCTTCTCCAGGTGAGATTCTCATCTAAAATAGTTCCAAAAAAATCAACTTCTTTTGATATTTTTATGTCATTCAAAGTGACTAAATTACAACAGAAATCCCTCCTAACAAATGTTTTCATCAGCACTGACTTAGATTTATTTAAAATCAGTTTGTTACGTTGACACCAACTACTGAATTCGTCAATAACTAAATTAATTTTCATCGATAATTCATTCTCATTTTTTCCAGAAACAGTGATTGTAGTATCATCAGCGTACATAGTTATGTGACAATTTGATATGAATTCAGGCAAATCATTGATAAAAGTCAAGAATAACAATGGAGCCCAAACAGACCCTTGTTGAACACCTAGTTCCACATCATAAGGAACTGATGTAATTCCATTACATTTAACCACCAAACTACGGTTTTCCATGTACGATTCTATCCAACACAACACATTATTGGGAAAGCTCATTACTAGTAATTTTTTCAATAGAAATTTGGAAGAAACAGTATCGAATGCTTTTGATAGGTCTAAAAAATGTGAAAAACACAGGTTATTATCATCCACTTCTATTTGCTTCTTTTTATTGACCTAGGAACATTTTCTCGAAGTCCTTGAGCATTTTGCCATTGTTTTCTCAAATGATAATCAGCATCTGCATCTTGAGACGAAGCCTCTTCGTCTTTGTGATCTGCAGAGACCTGGGTGTTTCGATTACTGTCTACAGTATATTTCACTTCTGTAAGAGAGGTATTCAGAATTTCTTCTTTGGCATTCTGTAAGGTTGCAATTACTTTTAGGGCCTTTTTAATAATTCGTATCTGGCTACTGGTGGATTACCAATTCTGTTTATATACAAATAACACGACAGAAAAACTGAATTACCCTCTATTACTCATGTTTCTTTTCGCTACACCAAGAAGCCCATGCAAGGACTACCTCTGTATGCTAAGGTGAGAGATGCTGCCCTTTCCATATCGATTGACCTCGAAGATTCATGTCCCCCAGTTTCCAACGACTCTGGGGAGTAATTATGACCAATAAACTCTTCTAAATGGGTTTTAATCTTCAAAGAGGAAGATTAAAACAGTTTTAATCTTCCTCTTTGAAGATGATCACTTGGTGATCGAAACACGTGTCGAGGTGTTAAAAATAACGATTTGGTGTTGGGAAAAAACTCCAGTAATATTCATTACTACACCAAAGATTCCAAACAGTGCATCATAAGTCTAGAATCACTGTCAAGATTACTGCGTGAAAAGTTCTAACTCACAACGATCAATGTTTTGGCTGAATTATTATTCTACAGCAAAAATAAGACTCAAATTCAACAATGGCTCTTTTATTTTTTATGGAACTGAACATTCCAAAATGAGAATATACAATTTCTTATTCAGAAATAAGAAATGGCTCTTCTTCGTTTAAATGAGTTTTTTTTCCAGGTGCTTGGTCTAGCCGCTGTTGTTCATCCAGTCACTTCTAACGAGTATTTCAACGACACCTATTACGAATTTCATCGTTTTAGACGCAGTCCACGACGAAAGCACTTCCAGGAAGATAGGTAAGCTCTCTTGGAACTCCCCCGCAAATTTTTCACAACGAAAACTATGTATTCACAATGTGTAGGCTTACAAAGCATGCCTCCTTTCAATGCGGTTGAGTTGAAGATCATTCCGGACGAAAGAAGAATTTAAATGAATATTGTAATCGACAGGAGGGTGAAGAATCTACAGATCATATCTTTACTCATACAAATTCATGCCATACGTCGCTAGTGGCGCCTGCATGCAGCTATTGGCATTAACCCAAACATATTTGTGATTTCCAAAGAGAAAAAATTAATCGATTAATTTTTTTGTATATGGTGAACAAAAAAAAGGAGTCGAAATGAAACGCAGTTTGAAAAATTTTGGGTTCTGAGCAGTTTTTAAATATATTTCAAAAAGTATGTTGACTGTGGTACCTATATAGTTAATAGGTATTGTTTATGATAAGTCACTTGTAATGCCACAAGTAGTGTAATATGTAACTAAAGCTATCATTATGAAAAAATATGGTCACATATGCATATTTTATCTCGAAAGATTTGTTGATTCATATAATGTTCGAATGCTCGAGAACGTTCTTTGAAGTATTCTCCGTGGTGTGGTTCAGCCTAGCACCACTGATGAGACCTATGAGGGTCGGAACAGTGCTGTCTGGGGTTGAATATGCTAAATGCGTTATGTTTGGGCTCTGGTTTTCAACTATCTCTTAACTCTTCATCTCACTTAAGATCTCAATCAATCTAAGTGTTGGATCGTAATAAGACTGAAATTATATTCAAAAACCAGTAGTTTGTCACATATTGAGCACACTAAACTAAGAGTTCATAAAAGATGAGTGTGTAGGAGCAATTAGAATTTCAGGAATTTGAAAGATTGGAATAGACATGTATATATTTTTTTCAGGCCTCTGCAAAACATGATGGGGTTCGACAGCAAACTCATCCAAAATAGAAACTTCAAGAAAAACCATCACGAATCGGAATCGATATTGTCTAACGAAACCATTGACTGTTGTCCGATGATCGAGGAAATGGTTGAACCCATGGGAGGTTCCAACCAAGATGGTCTCTACGTCGAGCTGTACAGGGATGAAAATTACAGACAAAGGTATTATTAATATTTCAATTGGTGATTCGAAAATCATTTTGCCAATTTATTGGTATTTAAAAATATGATTTATATAAGAACAGAGAATTAAGTTTTTTCAGTAATTTTAAAAATGTTTCAATTGTAATGTTATTTTTTCACACCATATAAAAATAGATTGTCAACAAAAAATACTACTGTCAATTTTGAAAAAAGTGTTTTTAAAACATAGATTATTTCAGGCTGAAAATCAAGTATTTTTTCTGAATATTTCTATTTAAATGACTTACAGCATATTCAGAACACAAGTAAATGTAGGTTTCCAAAGAATTTCGATTCATTTGTTTTTATTTCCTCAGTATTTAATTTCAACTTTATATTTTTCAAAAATTGATTCGAAATCATTGCGTAACCTATCTTCCTCGAAGATTTAGAAAATAAATAATGCATAAAAAACACTATTATGCGAAATTCCTACAGTATTAATGTATATTATATTGAAAATATTGTTACGTTCCCCATGGGTTTGGCAATAATTGATTACACTGTACAATAATCAAACGCACCTTCATTTCACTGTTAATACAACCAAACACTTCAAATAATATTCAAATAACTGTCGCCTTATTATATCGGTCTGTACCGCACTGTCCGCCAAACTTGATTTGACTATCGATCGAAGTAAGTCGAAACCGATAGGGAATTCGCCAGAAGTCTATCGAAGCCGGTAGAATTATTCTCGAAGGGGCGCGACACATACAACGATCTCATCGCACAAGTCGAATTGAGCGAGATCATCGTCACACGTCACAATTGATCCAAGACGGCCAGCGGCGGCCGGCGTTATTTTTAATTACTAACTAATGGATTTTTTATATATACTTTATTGTCCAAAGAAAAAACTTGTTGACAAAGTTAGTAAATAAATATAAAAGAATACATAAATGTCATATGAATATAAAAATATAGATAGAATATAATGTAAACTTAAGTATAAAAACACTGAATAAAAATCCACAAACAATGGTTGAAACATACATACACATAAAACATGCTAAGTTGAAAATGATCGATATAAAACTCGTCAAACTGCAATAGGGTCTACCACTCAAAATTTCTTCAATCATTTTTCTGTACTGATTGGTATCAATATTTATCTTTTTAGTGTAACTCGTCAGATGGTTATACATCTTCACACCATTGTAAAATAAGGAGTCCTTGACCAAAGAGTTGCAAGGAATAGGTAATTTCAAATTTTCTTGTACGCTCTGACGAGTTGTATAGTGATGGGTGGTAACCTCAAGTTTCACAAGATGTTTTTTAATCAAACACACTGTCTCCAGAATAAAAAAAACTACAACCGTCAATTTTTTTTCATCTTTAAACAGTTGCCTGCATGAGTCACGAGGTTTAGCTTTGCACAAGTATCGTATAGCTCTCTTCTGTAATACAAATACAGACTCCAGCAAATTAAGGCTACACACAAATTATAAAACTCGCCATATCAATAGTTTGTGTATCTGGTATGATTTTAGTGTCATTAATTACATGAACTTCAATTTCTGAACGAATACTTTCTGTGTCACCTTCAAATTGTGTCTCAATTCCTGTGCCTGCCATCTTTATAATATCTAATACTTTCAAATCTATTTCTGAGGGATCTTCTTCCGAACTCCTAGGCCCTCCTCCTAAAAACAATGAAGGAACAATTATAAACAAGTTATACAACGTAACGCAATTTAAAAAAAAAGTATTTATCGGTTTTAATATTCTCAGCACGCTGATGCGCAGCTGGTTTTCTAGCATCCCTATTCAAATTATCCCAAAGACTCTGTAGATTTTGAACACTACGATGATGTAAGGAACTCCTCAAATTGAACTTATCACATAGTTCTGACCACTTTCTAGTCTTTTCAGCATTGCTCATAGCGTCTGTTTTCTTGCGTTCGATTAATTTTGAGTACTCATGTAGCAGCTCCGTGAAAAGGATTTTTTCAGACTTCGTAAAATTTGGGGCTCTCGTACGTTTTTGTTTAGAATATTCACCAAGGTTTAAATCATCCTCCCTAATTCTCGAACTGTCACTGTGCACTCTGCTTCTTTCACTGCCAGTCAGATATTTAATGACCACGGAACGAAGAACTCTCGCTTGAATGGCAACGCCTCACAATTAGCTAACTGCTTCTTCTCTAACTGACAATAAAGGCTGGTGAAAGAAATGCTGTCAATCTATCCGTTAAAGTAACCTCCCTTACCTAACTGTCAGTCAGGTAACGAGCCGATAGCTCTGTTCTGGTGAAAGTGGCACTTAGCATTGAATCAAATCATATTCTACCATTGGTTGATATAATAATTAATTTCGAAGTTGTTCCTGTTGGAAACTTTGGCATAGTATTTTTCGTTTCTGTACTCTCAAAATACTTTTTCTCTGAGTTTAATCATTTCACTTGTGATGCAGTTCTTTACAGTTACTCCACATTCCAGGAATCCTGTCTAAACAGTTCCAAATCTCCTCTCCTCTCAACTATTCCGAGTTCAAACTTGTGCAACTATTCATTTATATTTATTTTGTTCTTTTCCAATTCCAGGTTCTACGAACTGTCGTGCGACCTGAACGTCCTAGACAAACCTTGCAAATTCATCCAGAAAAAGCTCCACCATCTATCCAGGTGCGTCCAGAAGCACAGCTATACCTACGCCCTGGTGAAAGACACCCCGAGCCACCGGACCAAAAACTACCCCCTCTTTCCGACCCACGACAGCAGCGGGGCGACTTACACCCTCGACTACATCAAGGTCAGAAGCGGCTGCAGTTGCGAAGTGATGAGCAGTCACAACGTCAAGAAAAACAACAAGAAAAAGCGTCGGAAAGCCCATCACAAGACTTGAAAACGTTCACTAGTGCATGTTATAGCCGTTTGATTTTCCGTTGATACCAAAGGTGACTATGTTCGTGGTGTGTTTCGTTGGCCGTATGGACTACTCGATTACCAGAGCTGAGGTACTCAGACCTGAAGTACGATACTCGGCAGTATCCTGTAGGTGCTTATAATTGGAAAGTACTTGCAGTGTCAACAGTGTACTGAAACTAAGGACTAGAGTACTTTGCAGGTTATGTAGTACTGAAGGCTTGAGTGCTTTTGTACTTGCAGCTCTGCTGATTCCCAGGCATTCCATTTCGTATGTGTTCGTTTTCGAGTTTTCAACTATTAAAGTATTATAAGTTTTAAGTAAATGGACAATTTGTTTCTAGTCTGAGAGGAAAGAACCAGGAGTGACTCTTTTATGGACTCATAGTTATGACAATTCGAATATACTTGTTCTGTTCTCTACGTGAATTTGAAGAATGTTACTTCTGCGATTTTTTGGGAAATTTTCAGTTTGGCATCTTTGAAAAAATATTTTTTTTGTTTCAGGGTAATTTTTTCGTTGAAATTATTTCAAATTGAGGTTTCACGTTAATATAATATTTCAGGAGCCTAAACTGAGAGTTAGTGCAGCTCAAGCTGCCAATTAACTGAATTGGACTGTCCTAACAGGCAGTTCTGAACTTTTTTCAACTCTAAGCTGAAAGGTTTTAAGGTTTATACCTAATTCGATAACTAAAAGTTCAAATATGGAAAGGTATATTGCTTGCATCTCAAAAACGGTTCTCAGTCATTTGGTATTTCTACCGAATTTTCCGGAGAAACCGCTGCTAGAAATGGGGAATTCCTGACATTTTTCATTTGGATAAGGATGCCAACCATACAACACCAAATCTCCATCTTTTGTTGAATATCAGTGTTACCAGTACACCAAAAAAAATATCAGTTGATATTTTGGAAACTCTCAGCTAAAACTTGATATGATGATGCGAATCTAGCTCTCAGCTAATCTCAACTATCAGTTAGCTAGTAGACACTTTCAACGGAAACAGAAAATGATATTTACTTCAATTTGAGGTTAGAAATTTTCGTGTATGTACTCCAAATGGAAGATTGAAAATTTCAGGGACAAGGGAAGTATTTTTGCACTGAAGTGAGAATAATTTACACGTCCTTAAAAATATTATATGAAATTAATTAAGACTCAACATGAGTGCTTGGAATAAGTATGGCTCAGGCAACAGAATCATGAAGACATGTCTTTTTAAATGTCCATCAAATAGATATGTTGGAGTTAAAGGCTTGAACAAATTGGTTTTGATTGGCTTAGGACAACTGGAACTTCAATAAAGATAGGTATAGCACAGTTTGTTCATCATTTTGAAATAAAATGATACTATATATTTGAAATCAATGTTCACTACAGAGATACAATAGATACTAAAAGTAAAATATTTGATGGTTTGCCAAAATACCTGAAGAACTGTATTGAATTTTTTAAATTCATATCATGTCAAAAAATAAGTTTCTAAATTGATGTGAATGTGAATTATAAAACATTTTGTGAGTTAGTAGCCCACAAAAACTGCTAAATACTCATTTCAATTTTCCCAAGCCCGTTATTTTTAGATTACTTGTAAAATTGCCATAGTTATCTTATGTTATGCAGTACTAGGTACTAATAGTAATCTTAAAAAACTTTTTATTCTGAATTTTTTCTAAGGAAAAAGTAGCATTCAGTGCTAGAATGTTTTCATCATCTATTTTCAACATAGTTTCCATTTTTAAATCCATCACAATATCAAGAGTCTACGCTAAACTTCATTCATATTGCAGCAATCGTATTTTACCACAAAGAAAGTTGTGACTTCGTCAGACCTGTTTATTCAAATTGGTTGAACCTATATATAGTGATAACTATAAAACTTCTAAAAAAATCCACTTCGACTGAAAATTTCTTATTGAAGAATAGCTGAAACAAAAGAAAACAAATTTTCACATACCTACAGGTATGTCAAAGTCTGCCGAATGACACTATGAAAGTGAATCATTTCTTAATTATCATTGTCACTGGAAAGATTGACAGTTTTCATAACTACTTTTTTTTCTTAAAATCGCAGAGTGTATCAAAAAATAATGTGGAGAGTAGAAAACATTAATAATGATAATATGAAATGTGTTGAATGACGATTTGGGTGACAATTTATCTATATTCTTGTTCTACTCTACTTGAAACAGCTCACAGTTCCGGATGCTGCAATGGTTACCCTGAAAAGTACTGATTATCTGTATATAAAACGCGAATAACATTACAAAATGTAAAAATAGTTAGTGAATTCAGTGTAAATATTTGTTTGATAGGTTATCTATTTATTGCTATACTTGATTTGTATTTTTTATATTTATTTTTATAAAATTCTTTGTACTAGAATTGACCCTATTAGATTATTCGACTGTACCTCACCATGTTTCATATATATTTTAAGTGACTTTCCAAAAATTAATATTTGAATTTCTGTACAATATTTTCTGTCAAAAAGTTGTGAATGTAATACCTTGTAAAATGAATATTAAAAATTAACGTAATATATGATCCCTCTCTAAATATGTTGAATTACCTATCCTTCCAAATATATTCTAGGCACCTATTAGGCACACGTAGAATTTTTCATATAGGCAAAATATATTTTTGAATACAGTCATTATACCCCTGAAGAGCCATGAGCCTATGACAGGGCTCCTCACAATCTCATGTAATAATACTAATTATAACCAAAATTGTTAATAAACGTCTTGAACTTGGCGGTAATCACACAAATATAAAAAGTTAAAATAGACAATTAGACATTGCAAAAACAAAAGGTCTCCGAAGAGGAGACGAATTTAAAAAATTGCTGTTTTTAAAGGAACAAAAAATGTGTGAAAAAACTAAGAGAGCATTGCCTCGAGCAAGACTGATGCGGCACCCCACGAAAACTCTCGTCAATGGACGATTCCAGTACCCCTATTCAGTATTGCCACAATAAAATTATCGAGTCTAAATCGACTGACATTTTCTAGTCATTTTTTGAAATAATTCAAAGTCGGAACAGATAGAATTTGTAATTTTATAGATTCCTGGATATTCCCGGATATATGAATCGAAGTATTAAAATTGATATGAACAAAAATAAAAAACCCTAGGGAATTTTACTTTTTAGGTTGTTCAATTGTTCGAAACCTGTCACCTATATATGTTTACATGTGGTCACAAACAGCATTTCAGTGTTCAGGTTGTTTTTGCCGAGTAGTTACGTTTTGATAGTGTATTCTGTAGGTGTTGTATGATACTTTTTCCATGCCATTATTATTACCAGAGGATGTTCCAGGTACCCTATTGAAAGACAATTTATTGATTGAAGACCATTAAGTTGCAGAACTCCAAAGATGGTTAGACTTTTTCTATCAGAACGATCCTGTTCTACTGAATACAATGAACAATAAGTGAATACAATGAACAATAAGTAAATACAACAATAAAATTTCATATGGTACATGACATGTGACGGTAAAAAGACATTATTACCACTATTAAACAACGTACAAACCTAAAATTCCCTAAAATTTGTTATTTTTGTCCATAACAACTTTAATACTTCGATTCATATATCCAGAAATCTATAAAATTAAAAATTCTATCTGTTCCGGCTTTGAATTATTCCAAAAAAGGCCTAGAAAATGTCAGTCGATTTAGACCCGAAAATTTTATAGTGGCAACACTGAATAGGGGTACTAGAATCGTCCATTGTTAACAGAAAGAAATTGGTCAAATATGCGCCCGAGGGGGAAGCAACGGCCATACAAAGAGAGAGCGCTGTGTGGCAACACTGTATAGTTCAGAGTAGCCCACTTCTTATTGGTATTCACCGGAAATTTTTGGCAGTGGTTGGTTACCTGAAATACTATGAAATGGTTACTTTCAAAACACATCATCACGAAAAATTAGAACAGTGAGTAACCGCCCATTTGCCTGTTTGGTCAACCATTTTTCATGAAACCATAATTTGAATGTCAACACTTTTTCAGGAATATGACAGAGGCGATTAGTTTTGGACAGCATAAACACAATTTTGATTACTTTCGGACCATATTAGATACATGTTTTATCCATAGTCCAAATCCCAAATCTTACAATGGCTGTGTTCCAAGTTCAAACGCCCCAGTCTCCTTGAAACAAAATCATGTGAGGTGCAAATCCTTCTTATACAAAATCCTGGTTCCGCCCTTGGCCCAGGCTGAGAAACTTCTCGTCCTTCATTTTTGTAAACTGCTAGTGCCCTCTGTTTATCAATAGTCAAAGTTCACACTTATAATTGATTCTCAATAAAAGACAAGTTTTTAAATTCTCCGATAAGTCCAAGGAATGATCAAATGAATTCATCAACGATGCACAGAAACCCTGGTGTTCAACTAGATTGAGTGTTTTCGCAGAATACTTCACAGAGGGGATTAAACAAACATTCACGAAACGTTATTTTTAGACATCTATTCCTTGACATTATTAAATCTTTAGACAATGGCATTGTCTAATCCAGTTGTTCTCAAACTGTGGTACGCTTACCCCTTGGGGGTACGCGAAAGTTTTTTAAGATTCTTTATTTTTCTGAAAACCAGCTCGAGTGGAAAAACTGTGTGTCGGTGTGTATGGATGGTGCAGAACTATGAGCGGTCACATCATAGGGCTGGTAGGCCATATTTTTTCAACTGACTGTAAGTTCACTCATTGTGTCCTTCACCGAGAGGCTTTGGCGGCTAAGCACCTCCCTAAGGAACTTCAAGAGATCCTTGATCAGAGTGTAAAAGTTGTGAATTTCATCAAAACTAGGCCACAAAACCTCGCTACTTTAAAATTCTATGCCAAGATATGGGGAGCCTACATGAGAACTTATTGCTTCATACTGAAGTACGATGGCTTTCACGGAGAAATGTTTTGTCTAGTGTGTTTGAACTCCACAAAGAATTACTTTATTTTTATCGAACACAAATCGCATTTGTCTTCAGTACCTACTGAATTTGATTGGCTTTTGAAGCTGGCATATTTAAGTGATATTTTTGAAAAACTAAATATCTGGAATTTGTCCATGCAGGGTAGCATTTCTGATATTTTTTATGTAGCAAAGAAAACTGATGCAATGGTAAAAAGATCAATCTCTGGGAAAATGAAGTACAAAAAAGCAACTCTGAGCCTTTTGAAAGATTGCCCAAATTTTTGCAAGATAATGAGACAAACCTATCTGATTTTACTAAACTCAAAACTCAAATGGGCCAGCACCTGAATGCACTGCAGATCCGGATAAAAGAGTACTTTCCACCTTTGGAAAAACATTATGAATGGATACGTGACCCCTTTGTTGTTGATGCTACGGACACTAACCTGATTATTGTTGAAAAGGAGCAGCTCATTGAAGTTTCGTCTGATCCCACATTGAAAAACAAATATTTGAGTTCTGGTAATACATTGTTGAGTTTCTGGATCGGTGTTTGAAAGGAACACAAAGAACTGTCTATCAATGCTGTTAAATTTCTTGTTGGGTTTTCCACCACTTATTTATGTGAAAGAGGTTTTTCAAGTTTAACATATCTTAAGAGTAAATATAGAAAAAAATTAAATGTTGAAGATGATTTAAAATTATATTTAACCAAGTTGGAACCTAATATTGATGAACTGTGCAAACAGAAACAAGCTCACCCTTCTCACTATATAATTTCTTTTAAAGTAAGAGCTTTTTGTTTTTTAAGGTTTGTGTGTTTTTATTGTAATAAAATGTATGTAATAAAATAATGTAATAAAATGTATGTAAGCAATATATCTTTGTTTTTATTTAAACATGACAATTAATTGAGTTACTCGTGTTAAAACTATACAAAATAAAAGGCTGACAACTCGGATCATTCTCCGACATATAGGTATTTTAGCTATTTTACTAACTGTGAAGGGGACCCGGATTTTTTTTTTGAAAAAAGGGGTACGGTGTCTAAAAAAGTTTGAGAACCCCTGGTCTGATCGACAAATACAATGTGGCCACCTGTTAGTCACTAGAGAAATTTTTTCGTGGATGAAGTGATAAAATTCAATTCTCCATAATCTAAATACAAAGTTTGTAGAATAAAAAGACATTTGATTCATTTGCTTCCATTTTTACTTTAATAATAGATATATTTTTTATAGTAACCCTTTGCTAACTAGTTTTTTGGCTTGATCAACATATCTTAATTATACACTAATGGTGGATTGTGCGCACAGAATCACATCTAATGAATCCCACCTGCGATGTTATAGCGAGTTTATGCCACATTACGTAAGAACCAAACCTAATAACTAAGACTAGGTATATCTAAAAAAAAGTGTTCGAAATATGCACATGTTAAATGTTAACATAACCACTACTTTTCATTTTATATTTTACTTTTGTGTATATTATACTATTACTATATAATAGCTTTGTAGGTATATAGATTATAATACAAAGATTATACTATACTAATGAAAATAATTTCATAAAAATAATAATTGTTTCGAAATTTCTCGGGTACCTAAATGATTTTCTAATATAACGGCTGTAAATATTTCAATTTGGCGAACTCTTATTTCAGTTTGACATAAGCTCCTAGTTATTTGTTGAATGCTGGCCAATTCTTTGGTCAGTTTGTAGTCTTAATGAAGTTTCCATAAACGTTCTCATTAATTTGTTATTTTCGAACTCTTAGTTCATAAGATGTTGCACAAACTCGCCATCATTCTGCTAAAAGGAAAAAACGGATACAACAGCAGCTTTCAACAATGGAATAATAAAACTGGGAAGACGTAACATTCCTTTGTAGTCACATCGTTTCATACCTAATCCAAGTAACGGCTTCTAGCAAAACTAAAAAATTAGCTGAATTACCGTAAATTCTGAAAATTGTTTCGTTTTTGAGATATACCAAAATTGCAAGATTATTTTAACTTTGTAAACCCTTATTGAACTAAAAGATGCATCTTAAACTTAAACTAAGGCCATCAGTTTTTAGTAGTCTGATGATAAAGTTACAAATTTTAGTAATGTGGTGATGGCATAATAATACGCAAAACACAGGTAGGGAGAAAGTGCTTTATTTCTGACGAATGAGCAGAATTTTAATTAGATTGTACTTTATTGGTACAAAAAAATGTGATGTAATGAGTTTGAAATAAAATACACATCAAGTAATTTCAAACTTTATTTGTCATTACCATAAAAATAAACTTATTTCTTAGCAGCTTGGGCTTCATCTTCCCGCTGGTAATTCTGTAGAACTTCCTGTTTCTTGGTAGCGATACGTTCTTCACGACGTTCACGTGCTTGTTTTACCTTCAATCTCCTGGCATTGGCTTGGTCTGCCAACATCTTGGCACGGGCCTTCTCTGCCTTCTTCTTATGGATGTATTCCATGAGGACTCTCTTGTTCTTGAATACGTTACCCTTTGCTTTCATGTAAAGGGCATGGTACAGATGCCTGTCGATCTTTTTGGCTTCTCGGTATTTTTTCAAGAGACGTCTCAAAACTCTCATGCGCTGAATCCATAATTCCTGAAATACAAAAAAGAAGATTCATAAATCAGAAGAAAAAATTTACAGTAAAACTCCAATTATACATATTGATTAGGAAGAACCCTATTTTGAATAATCAATTTTGTGGAAATTTAGATTTGGTAAAAAATTCTCTATTTTGAAAAGTAAACATACAAAAGTATTTTTGAAGTTAATACCGAAAAACCTGATAATTTCATAAAATTTTTACTTTTCAACAATAACTTCTTTACTTAGCAATATCATGAGAGCAAACAGCATAACAAAACCACAATTCTATAAGACGAGTAGTTTTATCCATTGCTGGTTGCTCGATTGGTATTGCTCAAAGTTTATAGTTAAAAAATCAGGTATTCGTGTGAAGAATGAATAAACGATATCCCTTTGTGAACATTCCTCAGAAATAATAAAATGATTTGTTAATTTTTGGTGATATTTCAAAAACAAAAAAAATTAGACTGTTCCTACATCTGCATTTATTGACAGATTTTTTTTGTAAAAAAGACAAAATGTGTTTTATACATCCAGTAATCACAGTGAGTGACGAACTGACACGGCAGTGCTCAGATCATATTTCAAAGATTTTGACTTCGAATCAGATTTTTTACAGATATATTTCTCGTGAGAATTTACACAGTTAGATGAATTGATTCAGATACATTATTCACTCTTAATGTAACTGTGAACAGCCATGATGATTCCTAGGTGGCTTGAGGAATTATAAACATATCGTACCCAGAACAAGAGGCTAATAACCATAGTTGTTGATGCCATCACAAAAAAATGCAGGCTAGTGAAATATTCATATGAAATATCTATAAACAAAAAATATGTGAAATTTGACTTGCGATTCATGCAAGTAGAGGTATTATAGTTTGATTACTTTTTTGAAAATTGAAAAATTTTACAATTTTTGGCATTTTTAACTGAATGTCACATCATACCAACTAGAATTTCCTAATATAACTAATAACCAGTCCGCGCAAAGCTTATTGTTAAATCAACTGAAAATGGAACTTTTAACAGGTGATGATTGACTGTATTGCCAAATATGCGCCAAACTAACTGACTGTTATAAGAGAACAAGTATAGCTGAGGCACCAGTCAATCTAATAATAACACCGATGATCTTCAAACATGACTCAACCTCTGGCCAAGGCACCAAACTCTTACGAAGGTTCGAAATAGATGAACACTTCAATCTAGCAGACCAATATTATAATCTTCATGCAGTCATTGTTCACTGTGGTTCTGGTATTGAATCTGGTCATTATTACGCCTTGGTCAAAGACAAAACGGACTGGTTAAAGTTTGATGATAGTCATGTCACTAGCTGTTCTGGCGATGCATTGAATTTCGTAGAGCCTCTGAAGACACCCTAAATTTTGTTTTATGAGAGAGAGGATATTGGCAGATAAAGATCTTCAGATGATGTGGTGCTGCAGGTGTTTCCGGGTTTTCCTGCAGCTGAAAAACACATGGGCCAGTGGAATCAATCAAGTCGCCCCGGAGCACCAATTAATATTTATTGCTTTTTTATAATTTCATGAATTGTATTTTAGAATCATTTTCCCAGAGGTTCATGATAAAATAAATTGTTTTTCTATCATAGTTATTTCAAGTTGATGAAAGTATAACTCCAAATTGAAATCACTTCCTTATGTCGAGCTTAAAAGGATATTGGAAATTTTGATTTTCTTAAAATCACATAAAAAGTTGAAATTGTTTGATATATAATAGAGATTAGTAATAGAAAACTTTTTACAAAAATTATGTTTTGAAGATTCAAACAAAACTTTCAAAGTGAATTGTTCAAGATGGAGCACCGATCTGCAACCTTCGTTTTATCCCTTTTCCTTTTTTCATCAACGGCATCAAGTTCTATGGCCATTAGTTTCATGTTCTGGATAAATAATGTTGAGAACTCTGCGAACCATCTAGAGAGCATTATGGCTATTCACAGTCTTATCAACCATATAATGTTGCACAATCAACTCAACTTCAAATAGAAAAATCATCCTGAGAAAAACATCTGGTCAAAACAGGGTTTGAACATATAATCTTGAGATCATGAGCTTGACATACTATCATTTGCCCCAATTCACTGATTATCCATGGATTATTAATGACTCAATTCCTGATATGATTACTGAGACTAAGTAAAAGTCTTAAATGTCCACTCCAAATGTATTTTGGTTGATAGATAATATGTACATTATTTAAAATTACTCATTTAGGTTATAAATATTGCACAACAATTTGTAATATTCAGTTTTCATTGCAAAGATTGTTTCCTTTTCCTTTACTTTATCATTACAGATTTTCGATAATAGTGAATTTGTTACCTTCATTGGATTATCCATAATGAAACTGTTTACACAAAATTACAGAACTCTTCAGACTACCCGATATTTACTAATGAAAACAAAAGATCCGAAAATGGTAACAAAGTTTCAATGGTAATAAATATGCATTCGCTATATTTCAGATTCGAATATTTTAAAGGAATTCACACTGAGTGTAAGCAAGAAACATGACAAGGTTTGGTCGGAATCTGCCCATTGATTGAATATCCACAATTCTTCAAATAAACTGTACTTGTATGTAAAAATTTTTATACTTTTTGTATGTATGTTCCGACATCCTTAAAACAAACATTTTCTGATTCATTTATCAACAATATATTTTGACAAGCCTGATTTATGCCAGAATGTTTCTAAGAACTTCAATCGTAATTGTAGCAATAAACATTTTGATATAAATTAGCAGTGAAGATCATAATATAGGATATTTACACAGAAATATTAAACTTGTGCAATATTACCTTCTGGGGCATTCGAGCATTTGCTGTACCCTTCCTTTTACCGAAACCGCAATGTCTTCCCTTCCTGCGGGCTTCTGTGTTTTTGCGTACTCGAGCACGGGAATGCACTGCTACTGGTTTCTTGATTATGAGACCATCTTTGATCAACTTACGGATGTTTTGCCCTGTTGAATGAAACAGTGATTAAAAAATGCACCTCCAAAGAGCAATATAAAATATTTACTTGAGTTGGTGTTAGCGATTTCATTAATTTCATTAGGATCCAACCATACTTTCTTTTTGCCACATCGCATAACCGAGGCGGCGAGCCTCTTCTGTAGCTTCAAGGAACTGGAAAGGAAATATAAATGATATTAATGGCGATCACCATGTGGTGAAACATTATGAAGTTGACAAAACAAAGATTAGAAGATATATTAACGCCAAAATAATATCGGTGAACAATAAGGAAATTTAATTAAAAAATATTCGTATTATTTATACGAAATACTTGAAAAATTTAATAAAACCAACGACAAACCTCATTTTCACATGAACTCCGCAACGTGTTTTACCAAAAGAACTTAAGTTGACAGTGTATCCAACTAGCTAATATAAAAGTTACAACTTGGTAAGAAATCAAATTCCCTAAAAATTTGTAGAGAGGGCACAGAACACCTTAAATACAGAATATTCATTTTTTGATATAGAATGTCACAGTTTATAACAACCTAACTTATATTTTAGATCTTCCATATCGTTTGGAAGTTTCACACATTTTTTTGTACAAAGATGGAGAAGTAGAAAATCAAAAACCATTTTTATCATAAGTTCTGTGATTCAATACAGCTCCTTGTTTGTAAAAGTTTTTCAATATTCGCTATGAAACAAAACTGTCATCTGAGCAGTCAACTTGAATGTTACTATTCAACTTCAATGCAGTAACTTAAAAAATCGCTTCTAGACTAAATAATAATACTAGATATCGTCCTGTTATTTTAATTTCCTGAGTCACCAAAATTATTCACATCAAAGAGATGAATCAACATTTGAAGACCTTTCACATCAATATCAAAATTGATCTACAAGAAAGTAAAAAAGTAAATAATTCAGATACAACATCTATCTGATATATTAGAAGCAAATCAAACGGTAAAACAAAACTGCCTCCTACATATTGTAGAGGTTTCAAAAATGACACGTTGAAAGGTAAGACCTTCGTAGTTCTTAGCTCGCTCAAGTTTTGACTTTTGAGAGATGTCGTTCGTAGGGGGGCGACAGCTGGTTAACGGAAAAAAACAGATTTTAAGATTTTTATAGTCACGTTTACGAAAGTATTTTCAATTTTCCATCAGTTCTATAACATGAATCAACCAAAACACTCAAATTTCGTAAATTTGCACTCGACTATCTCATAAAGATATTCTTGTTTGGAGCGTATGTATTTTTCTTATATTGGCTACCTTGTATATTCAGGCGAGTTCTTAAATTCATCAGAAAATTTCTGACAGATGTCTTCAATCTAGGAAACTTTGTAATGTGCATAATCGAATTATTTTGATAATCGAATCATAAATCACTCGCAATTCACAGTAGAATCACTCAATAGACATCGATAATATAGTGATTGTTCAATATGTACATTGTTATAATATTGCAATCTGATTTACATTGTTAACTGAGAGTTTATTTTGAGTTTGTTAATTTAATGTTCATTTTGTTTATGTTTGAATTTTGAAATAACGTTTCATTTCTTTCATTTCTTTAATTTTTAAGATAAATCAGTGTCGACTGAACACCACTTAAAGTAAATGGTTTGTGATTACATTTCTTTTTGTATAAAGATGAAGAAGTAGAAATCCAAAACCTTTCCCAAAAATGATTCTCCACTAAATTTTTTTGTGGTGATTGATTCTATGGAAGATTAAGATATATGTACTTCATTCCTAAAACCTTCCATAGAATTTTTATTTAATGCACTAATTCTGCAGATGCCTGTATATTTGGTATAACAATAATGTTTTATTTTCTTCTGAAATTAATACATTTGTGATCTATTCTCAATTGAAAAACACATGAAAGAATAACAATTTTATTAATAAATTACATCTACGCAACTAATCAGAAACTATTTTATTGAGTCTGAGTCGAATCAGGATTGGCTGCTGAAGATATGGCCATGAAAATCAGTAAAGGAACTATATACATCCACTGAAAAAAAATTATAACAATATTTATTTTGAATGACAGAATAATGAAAATATCGATGACTTGAAAAAAAACAATCAAGTTGAGCTTAGTTTCAATGCAATGATATGAAAAAAAATTCAGTTTCATTAGCGTGTAAGAAAAACCTTATGGTACTGGTTCAGTGGATAGTTGCTCATTCAAAATAGTTGAAGTAAGTACATGATTGATTCTGTTCCAAGCTACAAATATGATCCCAAAAGTTGTTGGTTCTTTTCTCATATACTTGGGTTCGTTCACTCAGAGATAGTTTACAAGAGAGGTTACGAAATAGGGCTGAATTTAGGCAAAGGGGCACCTGGAGGTGAGAGGCATTTTATGACGTTACTGGAGGAAATTCATTGGCAATACAGAAAATTTTGAACAGTAGTTTAAATAGTAAATTTTTGATGGTGGGTTATGAATAATTCATGTATTATATAATTTTCTTCATTGACACATGATAAGCGATCATAGTATTTCCTAAGCATTTCATATAATTTATACTAACAGTGTCTGAGCATCCGACTCGTTTGAAAAATTGTTAAAACACTTGCACAACTTACACTTGTAGTGAAAAAGTGAGATTCCATAGATTAGTAAAGCAAAAAAATTGGCTAATTACTGTGTTAATGATAGATAATGTTTTGGTCACTTTTATTATGATGTATACTTTGTATTCAGGAATGTCGGTGGGATTATAACAATATACTGAAAAAATGGATTATGTTATGAAATAAACTGGAAACATTCCATATCCGTTCCAATATAGAGTTATTTTTTGCTAGAATGATGTCAAAAACACAGAGGCTAAAATGTCTGACATTATGTAACCCTTCCTATTAATGAATACTGGGTTCATCTTCTAACTTCATGAATATTGTAATTATAACTTGTTACCTAACAAACCAAACATGTTGCTTCTGAAATAGATACTTACATATTTTGCTAAAAATGATCTGTTATCTTTGCCTTCTCCTTTTTCTTTGGCTTCTCTTTCTCGTTCTAGTTTTTGGATGAAAGTAGCAGTATCTGGTCTGTAAAATAAATTAGAATATATGCCAAAGTTGATCTTGAATCAGTAGTTTTTGAGACTCACATAGGCCCAGTTTCAGAGTGTCGTACGTAAACACTTGTGGAGAACGTTTTCAGCTTTTCTAATGGTACTATTGCCCCTTCGCATGTAGATTTCGATGCTACAATTAAAGACACTCCTATGATCCTACCCATGTAGTCCAAAGACACAGATAGTCTGTCATCCAGCTCAGATTCAGCTAGCATACACTGAAATGGTAAGAGTTAAAAACACACATCTCTCATCAAAGAACTTTTGTAAGTATGCCTAACAATGTCGTAAACAAGAAGAAAAACGGAACAAAAATTTCCTTTTCTGAAGGTAACACAATGTTTCTAAAAATTTTTGCTGGCTAAAAAAGTACTATTGTTGATGCAATAAAAAACAAAATTGTGTACAGGATGTCTAAAACATTGAAATTCAAATTTTTGCATAATGCTATTCAAGAAAATTGTTTGAAATAGTTTTTATAGCAACAACTTTTGCTGTTAAATTTACATTCCACTTGAAATTTTGGTAGGTGAACTCTTGTGAAAAATGGCATTTGTAATTTTCAGACAAACTGTAGACAATAACTTTTTTGTATCGCTAATCATATTTTTAGCAAGCAAGATTTTCATTTTGACTTTGAAAACTCCTTTGTCTATCACATCACCGAAAAAACTATTTCAGAAATATGTGTACTTACAGCTTTGACTGTTGATATAAATGATCTTTCCGAACCATCATTATCTGTAACTGTAGATTTTATCTGGTAAAAACTATTTCTTGCTGCTAAATCCTGAAAAATCAATTTTTGCCAGCTTGGAAAACCTTAACATAGTTAAACTAAAATATGGACACTTGAATTCAATAATAAATGACAAGGCCACCATCATAGACTTAGCCACCATACAAAATTACTTTTAATTACCTGTAACTTCTTTTGCACTTCAAGAGTTAAAGGTTTTTGATTAACAATGGCTTGACCCAGACGTAAACTTTGTATTGATATGTTTCCCCTTTCAGTCCATACAGGATTTATATCGAATATTAGGGAGTGCTGCAGTTTAATGAAAGCAGATCCATCATGTTCTAGGTTACTCTAAAAATAAAGACACAATGAGGACAGATCATTTTATTTTTGGGGTACTCACAGTCCGAGCTACAGTGAAATAAATGAATAGGAAGCATAAAGTTATTTTAAACATTTTTTTATGAAAATACATAAACCAAATTCAAGATGTTTTAGGTTATTTGTTAAGTGTCATTAGTCATCGACTTTATTTTCGTTGTCAATGGCATCGAGTGCTATGATCATTAATCTAGTGTCAAAGCTAGTGTTTTGGGTAGGCTAATAATGTTCCAAGATGTTTTTTTACTTTAATAACTCATGGAGACAGTTACACTTTTTTATTTGAAATGGAAGCAACAACGGAATTTAAAAATATGTACAAACATTGAACCATATCAACTAGCATAAAATACAAGGAGACACAAAAACTGAATTGATTTTTGTTGTCAATCGATTTCTACCAGTTAATAACTCTTCAAGTCTTGCATCTGAAGTACTTTAAGACTATTCGCAGTTCCATCAGCCATATAACGTAGCATGTAGCAGAATCAACCCAGCTTCGACGATGAAAATTCTCTCAAGATAAATACATCTGGTTTATTCATTCATTCCTTCATGTTTCGGTATTTAGATCTAAAGTAGAGTGAGAATAACAGTACTCGTTCAATACCTCAAACATCTCCATGGACTTGATTATCCAGTCAACGTAGTGTTTATTATTATATCACTCATTATTTTTTGAAGTGAAAATTTGTAGCATGTGTGATAATGGAGCTTATATTGTTTTATGTTATCATTAATTGTTAATTACTGATTGTTGATTTTGTTGGTAATCGTCTATCTTTTTTTTTTATTGCCAAAGGAAAATTGGGCCAGTAGTTCACTCCCACTGTGAACATTTTTAGGGAAAAATACGGCTACAATCTTCAAAATGTTCCAATTCTTCCGAAAACTGAAACCTGCTGCAAATGATTGGTTGTCAACTGTTTTTCAAATCACTTCAATGACAAAAAAGTACTAACTGTAATTGAATTTGAATAATCTTACTTTCAAATATTCGACTAGTTTCATTGTTATTAACCATCTGCAAATTTGAAAATGCATTTAGATTTCGTAAAACTTTCCAAATTCTGTATAATATTCTGTTTTTCGTCAGCTCGTGCAGCTTTTTTTAATAATTCTTGGATGAATAACCAATGACAAAAAAGCTAGTTCATATTTATAATTTTTTGAAAACTATTGGGAGCAGTTCGTTTTTCATATGTCATGGGTTGATTAATTGAATGACTGATATTGGTACTGTAAATGTTATAAAAATGTATGTCTTATTTTTGACGTCATTTATTGCTACATTTCAATGTCTCTGAAGCGTTTTCTATAAGTGAAATCAGTGCAATTTTATCATTTCTCTGTCTTTTATTTCTTAATACATCAATAAAGGCTAGACATACACTGAATATGCATGAGTTTTCTCTTTGGAAAACGAAACAAGTTGGTGTTGGACATTCCTTCTATCCATAACAGAGAAAGAAAGCAGCTTTTTTGAAGTTTGTCATCCTTTCTTCGTTGTCTAACCTAACCTATTCTGCAGTCTGTCTGTTCTCTCAGAAAAAGGAAAACCCAAGGGAAATCCATATATGACCGATGACGGTTATTTGAAAAGTTGCATCAGCCTTATTGCACTATTAACATTCTAATCTGCAGTTAGTTATCATTGCACGATTCGAAGAAATTCTTAAGTAATCTCATTCTACATTGAAGTGTTAACGTGTTCACACAATGTCTGGAGAAAACGCAATACGTAAGTATTTTTGACGTTATTTGTTAACAAGGTATGTTATAAAAGTATCTTCACAGCTATTTACACATCGGATTCCCGTGGCAATGATGAGACAGGAGACGGTACAGAAGGAAAACCCTTTAAAACAATTCTTCAAGCTATGCGAAAAGCCGGTGCTGAACCTTTTCCTGTAATTTATGTCGATGGCAAAGAAGATGCTCTCAAATATGAACCAGCTGCTAAATCGCAGCTGAAAAAAATACAGAAAATGTGGGTTCGGGAAAACTACAAGCTGGCTGAGAAATCTAACAAAGAGGAAGAAGATGCTGAAAAGAGAGCAAAAAATTTGGAAGAAGCCAAGAAAATTGTTATTACTGAGGATAAATCCTTGCCAGAGCCAAAACTTATTAGAATATTTGATGGTACATATACATTTGTTTTTAGTTTTAATCTTCCTCTTTGAAGATGATCACTTGGTGATCGAAACACGCGTCGAGGTGTTAAAAATAACGATTTGGTGTTGGGAAAAAACTCCAGTAATATTTATTCAGTGTAAGTAAATATTCTTTTCGCCATCTTCTACAAAATATATCCGCTAAAGCTTGAGATACTCTCCACTGTTTTCTAAGGTTTACTTCGACTTCCTCAAATTTTTCCAAGTGTGGGGCAGCTCCATTTGAACAGTGCAATAAAAAAGGATTTGGCTTAAGGCTTTCCGGCTCTAAAGGATCATTTGAAATGTATGACAAAGATGTGCTATTTATCATATTCTCCGCCTCCGTAATCAGGGTAATAAGCACTTCTTTGGGATGTCTCTCTTTCAGTGTAACCGACCTCACCAACCTTCTCCCAGCTTCCTCCCATATGTGGAGATGTTGGTGGAATGAATTTCCATGTAATGTTCTTGAAAGAAAAATAACCCAAAATTTCAGTATCGTCCATGTCCTTAACAGCTTCTCTTAATTCTCTATTGGCAGAATGCATGTTCGTACCGTTATCTGAGTCAATTTCTTGACTTGTTATTGTTGACTTATTAATCTTCTCGTCGCCATGATAGCAGAGTCTGTATTCAACGATTTTGCCATTTCTAGATGCCATTTTTCCATGTGTTCAACAGAATAAGAAAGCTTTGAATAACTCATAAAAAGAAAAATGCCAGTTCCTTAATAAATGCTAACCTATTCTGCAGTCTGTCTGTTCTCTCAGAAAAAGGAAAACCCAAGGGAAATCCATATATGATCGATGACGCTTATTTGAAAAGTTGCATCAGCCTTATTGCACTATTAACATTCTAATCTGCAGTTAGTTTAAGATAATTGATTGCAAGATCCGAAAAAGTTCCTAAGTAATCTCATTCTACATTGAAGTGTTAACGTGTTCACACAATGTCTGGAGAAAACGCAATACCTATTTACACATCGGATTCCCGTGGCAATGATGGGACAGGAGACGGTACAGAAGGAAACCCCTTTAAAACAATTCTTCAAGCTATGCGAAAAGCCGGTGCAGAACCTTTTCCTGTAATTTATGTCGATGGCAAAGAAGATGCTCTCAAATATGAACCAGCTGCTAAATCACAGATGAAAAAAATACAGAAAATGTGGGTTCGGGAAAACTATAAGCTGGCTGAGAAATCTAACAAAGAGGAAGAAGATGCTGAAAAGAGAGCAAAAAATTTGGAAGAAGCCAAGAAAATTGTTATTACTAAGGATAAATCCTTGCCAGAGCCAAAACTTATAAGAATATTTGATGGAGAACAATTCAGGGAACAAAAAGTGAAAATCTTTGGACTCATAGGATAAGAAGACAAGGTAAAAACTTGATGTTTGTGACACTTAGAGATGGTACAGGATTCTTGCAATCTGTGTTGAATGATAAACTCTGTCATACTTACGAAGCCCTGGTTTTACAAACGGAGTCCTCTATAGTTCTGTATGGAGTACTCAAAAAGTTGCCCGAGGGAAAAAGTGTAAGTATTCCTGTGATATCCTTACATCCAGATAGATTTAATGAATGTACATTAAATCAATTAATGCATTTCAATGTATATATTGTATATCAATGTATTTTCAACTTTTTCTTGTGCCTTTCATAAAATTCAATATTTTTAATAACTGAACTGTAGAAATATTCTGATGTTCCATAAATGTTGATGAATATTTTATATCAAAACATTCATGTACCTGTGTGTATGAATATTTTATTTGACCCCTTCTTTGATATTTACTTAGGCCCACTACTAAAGGGTTCAATCAAATATAATTTTTTCAGAATTGAATATTTTTTTTATATTGACTGTGGTAAATACGAAAGTAATACAAATTATGGGATTTTGAAACAATAACAAAAATTAATTAGCGCTCCGGGGTGACTTGATTGATTCCAGTGGCGCATTTGCATTCTTTAGCTGCAGGAAAACCTGGAAAAACATCCAGCACCACATTATTTGAAGATCTTGATCTGCCAATGTCCTCTCTTTCATCAAATAAAATGTAGGGTGTCTCCAGAGGCTCCAATAAATATATCGCCAGAATATTTAGTAACACGAATATCATCAAACTTAAACTAGTCTGTTTCGTCTTTGACCAATGCGTGATAGTGAACAGATTCAAGGCAGAACCACAGTGAACAATGACTGCATGAAAATTATAATGGTGGTCTGCTAGATTGAAGTGTTCATCTATTTCAAACTTTCGTAAGAGTTTGGTGCTTCCGTCAGAGGTTGTATTGTATTGTAATCAAAAACATTCTGCTCTCAACATTCATGCATAGTAGGATCTGGGTATGGCCTTCTGGAAATGAATAATATAATTTTTTTGTGAGTTCACTAACTATATTCTCAGATGATTCAAAGTATTTTATACATTTTTAATTTTCTGTTACCTCTCCTAAGCTCATTATGGAATAAATCACTACAATTGAACTTTGGAAATATAAAAGACATCTTTCAGTATACCTAATGAAACAAGGTCGCAATGTCTATCACAGTGTTATTTATAACAATGACTGATTCTTTCATATGGAAGTCTTGATGCAGTTAGACTGCGGAATATTGTGAGTCAATCCACTGCAGATGGTGAAGAAAACACGAGAGGAATACCATGTTTAATAATGCCAGGTGTACTGTTCTTGCAGTAAATCTCTAGTTTTGGTTCTCGAGCTACTGTTCTACTGATTGAGAATTGAATTCACTCCTACTGATTGAGAGTTGAATTCGCTGATGACACAGTTTACTTTCTATAATAATTATCAAATGACTAAGTGGTGGAAATTACTATGTAGATTGTATGTATCTACTGTTTTTTGTATAAGTCTACTGTTTTTTGCCCCAACTTCGTGCTCCATAAACGATGCAGAGAGTTAATGAAAGTCGGCTAATAACTTTACTCAACATTTATTATTTATAAGGCAGTACAAAATTCTCTACAAAAGCCCCCTAAGCTTTCGGAACAAGCCCTAATCATTCATGCATTGGTTATGCCACTGTTCTTTTAATGATTTTGGACGAAATGAATTGGCTGATGTTTTTTTTGCAATCGTGAACTACGTTGTTAATATTAAAAAAAAAAAAACAAATGTTTGTTTTTCAGTCCATTGATATATTTATCTTTCTCTAAATAATCAATCGAAATTTGTTTGAACAATATCATTTTTCAAGTAACCCTTCATTGCAATATTTTCACTGGACAGTGAAAATGTCTTGATAAAGCGATACTTGAATACGTAATGGATTTCCATCAAGTATCGGGCCAATTCCATCAAATATAATTTTTCTGCAACTTTTTAGTTTCAGTCTCAAAATTTTCAAATTAATTAATCGTATTATAGTCTGTTACTTATTTTGGAATTGTGTACTTATGTTCCAGTTTAACCTCTAATCAACTCAGATATGCATTATCTTTCAAAATGTAATTTCAGGCTCCAGGTGGTCACGAGCTTATTGTTGACTATTGGGAATTGATTGGTTCGGCTCCAGCAGGCGGAGCTGATTCGTTACTGAATGAGCAGGCTCTTCCAGATGTCCAAGCTGAAAATCGGCATATAATGATAAGGGGAGAGAACACCTCCAAAGTTCTAAGGATGAGATCGGTGCTCTTACAAGCTTTCAGGTAAACATGCTTTTTGATGAAATTGCTCATTGAGGGTTTCTATACAAAAATTTGAGCTAACTAAAAAATATTCATTTTTAATGAAAAAATTTGTCATAAATGTCAACAAGATCAGCTGAAGAGGGGAACAGTATGTAGAAGTTGAAGACTTTAAAAGTTTTGAAACTGTGCTTCTTGACATATAAATACAAGGATAAAAGGTAGACCAAATAGTAGTGTAATCAAATTTATGTCCTACCTTTAAAATTAATAATGGATGCTAATTTTGTGAATACTGCAACCGAACGTAGACTTGAATGTAGTTTTAAATAATTTCATTTGACGATATTTTGAAACTATAATTACCAATTGATCTCAAATGATTTTTGTTCTTCAAGAAAGGGATGCAAAGCTGCTTCGTGTGTTACATACACATCTTTTTTCAAAGCTCATGGTATTTTAATAGTAGCTTCCCTATACATTTTGGAAACAATCTCTTTTAATAAAGAAACAGCATTTTTCTTGTGCGATTCCCGAAGTCACATTAGCAATATTGAACTGTCTATTCCCACAAGCTCATTAGTTAGGGACTCAATTATTTTCAATGGCATCAGTCGGTTCAATTACCTGCCGGTTAAAATAAAAGAAATCAATGTTTACAATCAATTCAAAAACAAGTCAAAATGCATTTAAACTCTCTAGCCTACAACCACTTTCTGGCGATAAAAAACGAGATTTTTGTTGTCATTTCTTTTGTTAAATAAAAACGACAGTTTTATTAAAAATTTTGCTTTCGGAAAACAACCCAAAACACAATTTAAGTGAAATGAAAAGTGTTTTTTTTTTAATTTCTCTTCGAAATTCTTAATAGTCACATTTTTAAAGACTAAGCGAAAACATTTTTCCAATAAAAACGACAATTTTATTAAAATTTTGTCTTTCGGAAAACAACCCAAAACACAAAGGTGTTTTTTAAAAATTTCTATCCAAAATTGTTAAGAATCACATCTTTAAAGACTAACCCACAACATTTTTCCAATAAAAACAATTTTCTTGGGTTTTCCCCCTTCAAGTCAACCCAATCTTCAAGTCCATCTACCCCAAATGAGGTAATCCAACAAATCTAACCTAACCTCCAAGTCCATCTTTCTGATGGTAAAATACGAGATTTTTGTTGTCATTTCTTTTGTTAAATAAAAACGACACTTTTATTAAAAATTTTGCTTTCGGAAAACAACCCAAAACACAATTTTTATAAAATGAAAAGTGTTTATTCGAAATCCTTAATAATCACATTTTTAAAGACTAACCCACAGCATTTTTCCAATAAAGACAACACTTTTTTTTTCTCAAATTCCTCTTCGAATCTAACCTAACAAATCACCCCAACCTCCAAGTATATCTACCCCAAATGACATAACCCAACAAGTCACCAACCTAACCTTGTCCGATCCAACCTCGTCTACCCCAAATAAGCTAACTCAAATCTAACCTTGTTCACCCCAAATGGCCCAACCCAAGTCACCCTAACCTTCCCCAAATGTCCTTATTCATCTACAAAAAACCGCATTAGCCGGTTAGCTATTTGCAATGGTATCATATTAGAAAAATTACAACTAATGTTTGTGCAGTTTTTATTCGCAAAATAGGTTTTTTGTTGAATGAATCTTTCAACAGAGTTTTTCCAAGTAAATTTATTTTACTGCAAATTAAATCTAGTCACACAGGCGCTGATCTCAGAGTTTCTAGAAGATTTGTCTGTGCAATTTTTATAAAAACTCAACTTTGTGCACAGCCCAGAGTTGTTTATTTTTTTCAAGTTTGAGTCTTCGAATATCCGCACTTTTTGAAATTTTATTTGTTTCATAGGGAACACTATCTTGATAGGGGTTACTGTGAAGTTACTCCACCATCTATAGTTCAAACACAAGTTGAAGGAGGATCCACGCTTTTTAAAATGGATTATTTTGGGTGAGTTCACCTGGAAACATTTTTTTTTCAAATTTTCCATTGTATGGTTTCAAAGAAGTACAGAGCCCTGATTTTTTAAAACTTTTTATAGAGAGGAGGCTTACTTGACACAAAGTTCTCAGCTATATCTAGAAACATGTTTAGCATCTATGGGGAATGTATACTGCATCGCTGAAAGTTTTAGAGCAGAACAGAGTAGGACTCGGAGACATTTAGCAGAGTAAGTGTATTTTTTTATATTGAATGAAAATTCACCTCATTATTTTGCACTTCAAGGTCGGAGGTTATTTTTTGGTAGTGATTGAAATCGAAACTCAACAAAATATATATTTTCTATGTTCTTCTGTTATTGATAACTCGAAGGTATCCACATTATACTCTTACCTATGAGCTCGAAATAACATTGGCATATTGAACAAAGGACAATTTTTGTGAAGGAAATCGAGAATTTTTCATGGATATTTCTCCTAGTTCACCTTGATAAGTTATTGTGTAAACTCACCAAGGAAAATGTGTTCGCAAAGGAAAATGTGTTTTATATCAGTAACTTTTCATATGTTATAGTTATTCCTATAAAAAAAAAAACTATCTTTCTCGACAAATGTCAAAGGAATTTTGAAATGTGTAAATATGCCAATGTTGTTTCTCAACTTCTGAAACTTTCAATATAATACGTGTTCTCAAATTGCAATTTCGCCACTATCCATATTTTTCTTCAAGACGGGTTGTCAAGTACTATACATTTCTGAAGAGTTGTTTGCAATACACTTCTCTCTACTCTTAGTGAGTGGTTGAATGAGGCTCATTCTGTTCTTGTTCCATTTCGGGCAATTTTATCCTGTTATCTACTTCTGATGCAATATCGATGTTTATACATGCTTTCAATGGCTCCGAAATTTCACCAATATAACTTTGACCACAAGGACAAGTTATGTTATGAACACAATTTCTAATTTTCTTCTTGGTTGTCAGTAATTATTTCAAGATCATAAAGTTTATTGATAGTTATAATTATTATTACGTCTTTGTATTTGTGGATAAGTGATACACTTTTGGTCAATTTTATTTTTATTCAAAATGATATATAAAAACACTTGTATCCATTCTTATGTGAAATAAACTGAAAGAAAATTTTAAAGAGAGGGATGCATATTTCGACAATAGTTATTCGTGAATTAACGAAATTTGAATTAAGTTGCATTGGTATATCGAGCTACTTACATGAAAACAAAGTTATTTTTTAGAAAACAAAAAAGAGAATCTGTTGAAAATTGTTTTTCTGTTAACCAGCCTACGCCCCTTAACGAATGACAACCCTTATGGATCTTGTGAGAGCTAAGAATAACCGAGGTCTCGCATTTCAACATGCTATTCATACAATTATTACATATTGTTGATTGAATACTTTGCTCAGTTAAAGGTATCATAGTACATTATTAAATAACAATGTTAAATTATTTGAAGTTGAGTTGATATTACAATTTGATTGCTTGTCACCAAGCTAAGGGAAAGAAAATGGATTGACTTCATAATTCATGTTGGTATACTATCGCAATCTGGTGGATAGAGTATGAACTAAAATTAAAAACTGACAATTGCGCCATCTAGTGGTATTCTAAAAAAGCTTTTGATGAACTGAAAATGTAAACTTAGAAAAATCAGAAAATGAATGCATGTACAATATTATTCGTTAACAGAGGGATGATCTTGGGGAGAAAAATCGAAATATTCCTTATATATCAAGTGTCATTTTTTAATATGTATTGAACTTTTGAAAACCTTATTAAATATAGCAATAAAATGTATTTATAACTTGCCATTTCTAGCACCAACAATCTTCCTCTTGAAGATGAAAACTTGGTGATTGGAACACATGTCAAGGTGTTAAAAATAACGGCTTGGTGTTGGGATAAAACTCCAGTAATATTCAAAATATATTCAATTCGAACATATCTTTAACCATCAATTGACTGACCAACTCACAAGAAAATCAATCTATTTAAATACTTTTCTAATAAAAAGTTAAGTTGGTGATGACTCGTTATTCTTCAATGGATTAACAAATTATATTATAGATTGACAGTATCAACGAATCACCCCATGTGCTTTGGGGTTAGGTTATATAATAAGCTTAGTGAGGACATTAAATCCTCAAATATCAATGTCTTTAAAAGGTGACTCAAGATTTTTTTATTGCAAAAAGCGTACTACTCTGTGGATGAGTTTCTCCTTGAATTCTAATTTGATTGTAGCTTATTAACTTTTTTATGTATGTTTTATATTGAATTTTTTATTTTTGTTTGACCTGTTTAATCAGCCAGTATTTTATGATGATGTTATGTTTTTTTGTCTAATGTGATTGTGAAGGAAAACTGGTTCAATAAATGTTTGATATAATAACCTGAAATACATAAAGAACTTTCTCTTTACCACTAAATTCAAGAAAGCTGTTTCAAATTATTTTATATTTATAAAAAAAAAAGAAACGGTTTTGGATTTCATCTGGTTCTACTGCATAATATATTACATAATTATTTGTCGTATACTCTTTTTTTATTCGTCAATAAAACTGCATCAGCCTTTGGCTATTAGCGGTGTACACAATAATACATACCCATTAATAGTATAAACTATGAATTGTAAATTATATCAGCATAATAATCGTCTCCAAGAACATTTTGATGAAGGCTAGTTCAAACTAGCGATTATGGTTAATTAAATTGAATTACATATTATTCAGAAAAAAGTTTGAGATTTCATCCATTTTGTGGTTTTCAAAAATAATTTTTCTTGCAACCGACAGAGGTTTCACTTCACCATGTTTGCACCACTATATTATTATTTGAATCGAAGCTATTTTAAATAATTTCCTCTGCAGATACACCCATGTTGAAGCTGAATGTCCTTTCATTACATTCGACGATCTCTTGAACCGACTGGAGGATTTGATTTGTGATGTAGTAGACAGAGTTCTCAAATCTCCTTTTGGCCACATTGTTCACGAACTGAACCCCAACTTCCAAGTTCCTTCCAGACCATTCCTGCGGATGAACTATTCAGAAGCCATCGAGTATTTGAAGGAAAACAACATTACGAAAGAAGATGGAACATTTTATGAGTTTGGAGAGGTTTGTAATAATGAATCAATTGATCAGAATATGGTTTATTCGTTTCATATTTTTGAAGTTCACCTTACGAACTAGGTCTGATAGATAAGAAGTAAACTAAATGAAATTAAATGATGTTCAATCAACCTTGTTCTAATAGTGGTTTTTGATTATGATATCGATTTCAGGACATTCCGGAGATGCCCGAGAGGAAAATGACTGATAAAATAAACAAACCCATCATGTTGTGTCGTTTCCCTGCCAATATCAAATCGTTCTACATGAGCAAATGCCCCGAAGATAACAGGCTCACTGAGAGTGTTGACGTACTACTTCCTAACGTTGGAGAAATAGTCGGCGGATCAATGAGGATATGGGATATGGAAGAGTTGCTGGAAGGTTATAAGAGGGAAGGAATCGACCCTGCTCCCTATTTCTGGTATACTGACCAGAGGAAATACGGAACCTGTCCACATGGAGGTTATGGTCTAGGTCTGGAACGATTCGTCTGCTGGCTGCTGAACAGATACCATATTAGGGAAGTGTGTCTCTATCCTCGGTATCTCAACCATTGTAAACCGTAACTTTGGTGACGCGCAGATTCACTGAGCATTTATTAAGGAACCGGCATTTTTCTTTTTATAAGTTATACAGAGCTTTCTTATTCTGTTGAACAAAGCAAAAATAAATGTTACAGCTATATTTTTTTATTAATGTTGTGATATGCAGTTTGAGATGATGTGGATGAGAACTATTTGATTTGAATTGATGGATGAATGAAAGCTTGAGCATATAACGTTTCAAAACATATTCAAATAAAAGTTGAACACAGTAAAAAATTCATACTAGCATCAACCATTCTAGAGAAATAAAATGATAATTAAGAATTACGACTTTAAGTTAAGAAATTCCTATTTTATACTAGGTTATTACGACTTAAAACTAAGGAATTTCGACGTTAAAGTAAGGAATTCTGACATTAAACTAAGGAATTCCGACTGTAAACCAAGGAAATCCGACATCAAAGGAATTCTGGGTTTTAACCAAGGAATTTCGAAATCGAAGAAAATAATTCCGACTTTTAACTAAGGAATTCCAACTTTAAACTAAGGAATTTCAGCTTCAAACCTAGAATTTTCACTTTGAAATCGGAATTCCCACTTTGAACTGAGGAATTATGACATAAATCTAAGGAATTCAGACTTTAAACTAAGGATTTCGACATCAAAGTAAGGAATTCCGACAATAAACTGAGGAATTCCGACTTCAAACCAAGGAATTCCTACATCGAAGTAAAGAATTCAAACTAAGGAATTCCAACTTTAAACCTAGAATTTCCACTTTGAAATCGGAATTCCGACTTTGAACTAAGGAACAACGACTTTGAACTAAGGAATTCCGACATTAATCTAAGGAATTCAGACTTTAAACTAAGAAATTTCGACATTAAACTAAGGAATTCCGACTTTTAACCAAGGAATTCCGACTTCGAAGTAAAGAATTCGACTTTAAACTAAGAAATTCCAACTTCAAACCTAGAATTTCCACTTTTAAATCGGAATTCCCACTTTGAACTGAGGAATTACGATAAACTAAGGAATTCCGACTTTAAACTAAGGAATAACGACTTTGAACTAAGGATTTTCGACATTGAAGTAAGGAATTCCGACTTGAAACTAAGGAATTCTGTTATCAAAGTAAGGAATTCCTAGTTTGAACCAAGGAATTTCGTTATCGAAGTAAATAATTCAGACTTTGAACTAAGGAATTTCGACTTTAAACTAAGGAATTCCGACATTAAAGTAAGAATTCCGAGTTTAAACTGAGGAATTCCGACATTAAAGTAAGGAATTCCGACATTAAATCAAGAAAGTCCGACTTTAAACTAAGGAATTCTGTCAATGAAATAAGAAATTCCGAGTTTAAACTAAGGAATTCCGACATTAAAGTAAGGAATTTCGACTTTGAACTGAGGAATTTTGTCTTTAAACTAAGGAATTCCGACATCAAAGTGAGGAATTTCGAGTTTAAACTAAGGACCTCCGAGTTTAAACCAAGGAATTCTGACATTGAATGAAGAATTCTGACTTTGAACCAAGGAATTCCGACTTTAAACTAAGGAATTCCGACAAGAAAGTAAGGAATTTATATACTGGAGAAATTGAAAAATTGCAGCCTGAGTTGATGCGTCTTTTTAATTAATTTATTTATTTATCTATCTAAAGGGCAGCACCCAAAGGTGTGCATGAAACCTATTGAATAAAATCAATATTAAAATTGCGCCTTCCCCCCAATACATTCCTAGATCCGCTCCTGTTCATTGTTAAAAAAAATCGGAAATGGAATTTAGGGTCGGGACCCGAAAAAATTATCACCACACAGAAGATTAATATTTTTTATAGCCGTTCCATGGACATTAAAAAGGGAAAGTTGAGTGAGAAGTTGAAAAATATATAAGGCTTATGATAAAGTTGAGGCGATATTAAAAATTTTACGTCCTGTTATATCATGAAGGAAACCTTTTAAGTATGATCCATTTAAAATCACCCCCTTGAAGACGTTCAGGAACACTATGTAGATTTAAATCAACATTACAACTGGGTAATGCTTATCAGAAAGGAACCAAGCGACATTTTTCTGAACAGAACCAAGCGTTAGATGTGTGTTGAGGCTTGAAAAATGACCTTGCACTGGGAACTAAGTGTATATTTGCAGATACAGAATAAATCAGAAAGGACCTAAACGCCTGGTTCCGATTATAAATATTCAACGAAACGAGTAGCAATGTCGCTTGGACTCCTCCTTGTGACTCGGTTCTCTTCTGATCATTTTTCACTTCCTAGTTATACTGTCGGTTAGTTTCGTTCATAATCTTTTACAAACTTAGTTTTCTATAAAAAGCAACTCTGCCTGTACAATGAAGATGTTCATTGTGGAAAAAATGGATACTGCTTCGTATGGGCGAGAGCCCCCGGATGTTGGATCTGTACTGAAAAGTTCATTGAAAATCTCAGTCCAAATACAAAACGCTGATAATGTGGTCAGATAGTTGCGGAGGATAGACTCGTAAAATAAGGATAGTTCTAATGATGAAAACAATTCTCAGCAATCATCAAACTTCAGAAACAGTACATTTCAAATATCTAGTACCGGGCAACAGCTTTCTACCAAATGATTCAGAAATTACTGTAACAGAAATGAAGAAAGAAGACTTTTTTTCTGTACAAGCAATAGAACATGCAGTTGTTAACAGAAAATAAGACCAAAACAAAGAAAAGTTAGTTGGCTCAAAACCAGAGTTATAAAAATAACAAAAGGAGAGCCTTTCAGTATCTTTTTTAAATATACTCATAACAATAATGATGAATTCAAAGAAATTAAGATTCAGAAAAATTTGAAAAATCGCAATCAAATTTCAATACAAATCTAGAAATGCTTTGGCCAGAAGAAAAGGGAATTTTAACAAAAAACCTGCAGATCTTAAGGGGTTGATGCCTTTCATTCCGGCGAATTCAAAACAATTCAATAAAAATTTGAAGGGAGCAGAATTCGAAGATGACTTGGAGGGATTTGGTCCAGATTTGGACTTCGAAAATGAGTTTAAAAATTTCAATTGGAAATATTTTTTCATTAAACTCAATTTTTGTTTCAGTGAAAATAAGTATTTTATAACAACTGACTTTTCATTTTCATTTTGTACGGACGGCATCTTTCTCAGTGCAAAATGGATTTAAGCTTATTTATTAGAAAAGAACTAAGCGACAAAAGTCTCAAAATTACCTATATGAAAAGTCGTACTTTGAGACCCCTTTTCTCCGAAATTAAGTAAATTGAATTATTTACATCAATCATAAATGAATGTTGTCATTTGAAGTTAATTAAGTGTCTGCAATGTTGCAACTTTAGAAGGCGTTTTTACAAAACTACGCAAATGTCGCTTGGTGCCCTTCTGATGACCCACAAGATTAAAATATTTGAAACAAGAATTCACGATTCCTAGCCAAAATATTCCATGGATTGAGTATTTGTGTACGTCAGAAGTCAGAACAAACTGAAATTATGTAACTCTCTGCCTATGTCACTTGAAAAAATCCGTATAATCTAAAATTCCACACGACGACTTTCTCTGCCATGTTGGGACTTCATTGCACACGCCTTTTAATCCAGTCGTTTAAGCTTAAATTAGGTAAGAATCTCGGAATTCGAGATACCCAGCTGTNACCCCGAAATCATGGAAGAACTTGAGACAAATGTCGTTGAAGACGATAATGAAGACCAGTTTGAAATTTACCAGCAGCCAGAAGACGACGATGAAGAGGAAGAAGATGATTGAAATTATAAATTTTAGTTTTTGTACCCTTTATGACAAATATTTATAATCATTGATTTATCGATAGTTCATCAACTATATATGGCGCGTTTTCGACCGGAGGCACCGGTTGACCTGAAGTGATGCTGTGACCGCGTGCTCTCCGCCCTCTATCTCGAAAACGGTTCACCGTATAAAAACTTTTTTAAACAAAATTTGTAGAGAATTTTGTATTCCACAATATTGATAATAAATACAAATAGCAAAAAACCCATAGGAAATGAGATATTTCCAAAAAAGCGCAAAGAACCGATTTTTGTGACCTTTGATCTTGAAATTTAATAGTTGCTTACACCCTACCATATGTAGGTTTTGAGACAACTTTTAGGGTGTCAATATACAAGTATTTACAGACTTACAGCTGGGTATCTCGAATTCCTAGGTGAACTTACTATAATGACTGGACTATTTTCCTTTCTTCTTGTTCAACTGTGGCCGAGACCTCTTCTGAACGCCATCTAACTATGGTTTTGGCTTCCTTCTAGAGAATTACTAGCGGTCTACTCCTTTGGGCATTTGGATTCGCTGCACAAAAGTTATGTAACCGTATTTGTTTATCAGGTTTCGCAACGAGACTTGACTACTCGACCGAATTTTCTTTATAAACGGTCGTTTGTTTTGACTGTTACGGATTTGGAAGAGTTGGTCGTAGGCAAATAGGTTTTATAAATTATTCTTTGTGTAAGGGAACCGGACTACCCAAAATGGAAAACTATAGTAGAAACTATTGTTATAATAGAGATAAACCAGGACAGAAGCCCACTGAAAACACAAGAAAGAGGATAAAATAACAGCATACAGATTATTAAAGAAGATAAGAAATATTTTACATGAGAAATTAAAGTTGGTTCAGGTATGGGAATGAAATGATGTAAATTTTGAAGAATAAATGCAGTGGATTTTATGGGTTGAAAATGTTTTTTAAAGATTTTCACTGATACACGACGTTGTACTGAAATAAGTTTAATATAAAAGGAATTATTAAGATCTACAATTTTTGTATGGCTTATTTTTCCATCTTATGAGAGTATTCGAGGAGCCGGTGTTTTTCTTTTTTCTTCCATAAAAATAATATGTTTTTCATGATATTTGGTGAAAACTTACATTTTTGCGTTCTTGAATTCCTGTAATTTTATAAATATAAATATTCAGTATGATATCTCTTCGGAGATACTTTGGAAGTTTCCGAAGATATTGGCACTGAAGAAGAGCTTTTGATATTTTATAAAAATTACGATTTGAAATATAAGGGTGGTTTGAAAACTCCAACACCATTATTGAAAAACTTCACTATGTTAACACTGAAGGTTTTCGACAAATACACACACACATA